AAAACGGAATCGTGTTCTTTCGCAAGATTTGCAAACAAAAAAGACATCACAACCAAATTCTCCAGTTTCATGCCTATTGGAAGAATTTAAGGAACTAGCTGAAACACTCATTAAATACTTACCAGGCAACGAAATCTTGCACAATGGGTTATTATTGATCTCACAAGCGGCAGCCGATCCACAACCCTTGATGTAGCTGTACGTCTTGGTGATGTTGGCTCCAGATGCTTTGATTTCGGTGCTGACTTTCAGTTTCATACATTTTGCGCTTGAGCAGGTCATTTCTTTTTTGGCTCCGTTACATTTTCCCCAGCTTTCAGTTGAAGAACAGCTGTAGCATTTGTCAGCTTGAACTAAAAAAATAGGAGATATTGAGGCTTAGTGCCTACGCAGCCGCTATTAGTGTCGTCACGCAACGTTCAGGGAAGTGTCGTCACGCGTGACGACACTAATAACGGCTATCTCCTAGTTAATATATATATATATATACATATAATACATATATATATATATATATATAATATATATATATATATATATAATGAGAAGTCATTTCAAAGCCTCCAATATCGGACTGGACGGGATTTCAGGTCCGCGCAATTAGTTGCAACTAATTGCTTGCACTTTAAATCCCATCCAGTCCTCATTGTCAGCTTTGAAATATTACTTATAATTAATAGCCAAATTATTCAAATGAAAGCCTTACCTGTGTATCATAAATAAGATTCTGTCACATATGTCTAGACATCATTATTGGTTAATACAAAATCCTATACTTGTACAGTATTATATATAGCCACACTCAGATTTTTTTGCTTAAAATGAACTTATCATGGCTAGTAAAGTAGAGGGGTAGAAAGCAGAATATTGTAGAAAGAATCCCCCATTATTCAGAACACAATTCAACTAAATTAATCCGTTGCTATTTACACAGTTCTGCAAATATGCCGCGCATAATACTATTTCGTTATCCTTTTCGCGATATGCAGAACAGAAGTTGAAATCCCGATATATTCAGCTCTATTTTTGTTTTACAAGCGAACGAATTCAAAATAAGTGTTCAATATGCTAAGCCTTGAAAATCAGTGGCGCAGCTGAGACGTTGCTACTAAGCTGTGCTTTCATGATCTATCTTATAATTTGTTTGAATTTCTCGGTAGGCAAATGGACAGGTAGTCTCCTCTGTCCAAACTTATGAAGGTTGCGCTGGAGACTACCGTAATAATGGGCAGGCCCCGATTCAGTGACTCCAAGTCAGTCAGAAACGTAATGTTATTTTTTTATTTTTAATCCTTTTCAGTATAGCAAAGCTATTCATGTTGAGGTAATCAGTGTTGAGAGGAACCACTGAAATATTTGTTCCTATTTCATTATGTCGTCGTTCTCCTCTTCCTCGGCCATCGTTTACTACATTTATTATATAGATATCGATGAAATACCAGGTTTTCTCTAGTGTCGAAAACCTGATATCTTTCACCAGTGGAAGATACCATATCTTTCACACGTGAAGATATCGCTGTTGACAATAAAGAATAAAGAAATAAATAATTTTTGAGCTTTTGTTTTATTCAAGTTTCATCGATATCTATATAATAAACAACGCTCACTCGTGAGATATCAATTGAACACTCGAAGATAAAATTCGTATCTCCGCGCGCCCATATTATGTCCTCTATATCTTTTTTTCGATATCAATTTCGGATTTCATGGTTTTCACTGCTCTAGTGGCAAAAAGAAAACAAGCTACGGTTCGTTTGTTTTTGTAGCACTGCCTGAAAGGCGTATTTGAAAGGTTGATTTATTTATTGCTCTCTGTCATACAGTCAATGTCATTAATGTTGTCCACCGAAAAAAAACATTTACACATTTACATATTTAGTCATTTAGACATTTAGACTAAAAGATATATCACGTGTTTTCTCGAACGTTCTGGCATAAAACAAACGCTGAAATACAATTCTCCATCTTAAATCCTCACTAAATGGTCGGGGCATTCTGGATTTTCGATTCACGAGTTGAATTTTACATTTAAAGTTCAGGCTGACGCACACGAGGCAAAGAATACATAATGAAACACGCGATATTTCTTTCAGTCTAAATGTCTAAATTAGTAAATGTGTAAATGTCTTTTTTCGGTGGACAACGTTAATGACATTGGCTGATAAAAGATAACACTAGAGCCGAGGTGATATATTCTTTTGGCAGTCGTCCGAAACTTCAGTAATTTTTAAAAATCTTTTCACGGTGTGATCATGTTTTTCAGATCATATCTTACCTCACTGTACTGTTAATTGCTTTTATTATTGGTCTACAAAGGAGTAGCTACATGTAGTCATAGACTGGGTGTTTTTCAAAGTTAGATCCGAAGTCGTAAAAAACGTATCTTTTAACGTTGCTACTCAAAATTACATACTCTAAAAATATTCGCCGAATGTAAAGTGATTAATGGGCTATTCCATTTAATATGAGCACCCCCTATCGAGGATTGATTTTTTTATATATATACATGAACACCCTGAAGATATTTATTTCCTATTTACCCCTGAAGAATTTTACAAAAGTAAAAAAAATCCTGAAGAATTTATTTACCTTGCTCTGTACTAGCCTCCGTTGCAGACAGATCCGAACCGAACCGAACCCCGCAGGATGTCTGCAACGGAGGCTAGCTCTGTACACCCCTGAAGAATTAACAAAAGAAATTCGATTACCCCTGAAGATTATATTACACTTCTTACCCCTGAGGATTTTTGGATCCTCGATAGGTGGGGTGCGCATATTAAATGGGATAGTCTATAATGGTGGAATATTTAGCGCAAACCGCGAGTCGCAAACACAAAAATAAGCTTGTATATATAGGGATTGTTATAGGACTTCATAAACGGGTATTCATTAGTAAAAGCATCATCTTAGAGGGTGATAGACGCGTTTTCGGATCGTAACGACTGTTATCCAGTCAGTTTATACAACACAGCTGATGCAATGGTCTCGATACTGACTATATAACATAACTCTTGTCTTGACCATTTGCAGATATTTTAGTGATGCTGTGTCATTCGTCAATTTATTTCACCGCAAATCAAAACATTCACTTGTTTCCGTATGCATACAGCTCTGGCACCACAATGTTGGGTATAAACGCCTCGTATCAGTTCCCAAAACAATTCATTTGGAAGGTAAAACCATAGTTAGTACTCTACTAACTAGAGTGAAGTCATTAAACGCGCGAAATAGATATTAGACTAACACACTTTAGTAGACCTTAACTCCATTGTTTTCTTTTGTGTCTATTTGACTATTACACGTTGACTAGTATTTTTTATTTCACGGGTTTAATGCCTTCACTTTATGATAAAACAATGAAATATAGTGTGACTAGTCGATTCACCAGCAGAATATTGAATGGGAATTGATTTAGCCTATGGGGCCGAGTCTGTAGAGTAAGGGAACAGCTTTCACACGAAGCTATTAAGAACCAAAACAGTAATACTGTAATACCCATGTTATGAGTTTCGAGTAAGGAAACGCTCACCTTTGGCCACACAGCACAAAGCAACAAAAAACAGTGCAACCACCATTTGCTTCATGTTTCAGGTTTTTTCCCTCTGGATGAAACGATCAGCTTTTGTCTGTCAGATGGCGTTCTTTTCCGTGTCGTCTACCGCGATCGACGCTCGTCAAACAGCCAAATTGTATGAGACGCGGTTACGCCTTTCTCCAAAAAAGGCAAGTTCGACAAACAGTAATTTAGTCTGTCGCCATATTAGGCAGAGTGACCACAGGGAACCAGGCTTTCGGAACTTAATATATTTTTCTTTTAGAATTCTTAATGGCTTAACTCCGGTAAGTGTGGTTTCTTGTGGTTTGAAATCGGCGGTTTACGGCTACTTAAGGTGGCTGACTACTTCTTTAACATTTGATTTAAGCCCACGATGCGCGCGTGCTCAAAAACAGCTGGATAATCTTCACAATTTTATTGAAGAACCATACACGTTTTGAACTTCAAGACAAAACCCGCAAATTTTGCAAAAACATTTTTGTATAGAGATTCCAAAATTGTACCAACGCATGTCATTCCGGAGTGATTGTCTCATTTTTCTTTGCTTTTTTGAAAATCAGCATTAAATTTGAGGTCGAAAAAGTTCCAATTTTCAATTTTCTGTTTATTATTTAGCAAAGTAGTCAGCCACCTTAAGCTGTAATCTGATCAGATATGTAATGTTGGGTATTGCATGGCGCGCGGAATGGTTCAAAATCGTCATTTCGATTGTAATTGAATATTTGTTTGTCGATTGCGTTACTGGCTTGAATGTGTACACTTATCAGTGCATTGCGTTACATAAGCACGTTTCATATGTTTTCTTTGTCAATCATTGCTTATAAAAATAGTCCAATTGCGAAAATTCGGTCGATTTACAAAAGCTCTGTCAATCACCAACACTCGATCAATTACAAAAACTCTGTCAATTACCAAAACTCGGTCTAGACTCTGTCTGTCTCTGCTTGTCTGTCTGCCTTGGTAGACTTAATGTAAGCCATGACGATAGCCTAGCAGTAACCCGCACAACATGCCATCACACTAAAGTAATTCTCATGCAGTATTCTCTTTTATTTATTTGGACTTTCATTAAGTAATGAACATTTTATTACCAATATTCAGTCATAAACGAAAGCTCAGCACATTGTTGGGCAGTCTTCACAAACCTCCACTTCCCTCTGGCTCTACATTTCCTTCATTTTTGCACTAGAAATTAATAATGATAATAGTAATACTAATACTAATAATACTACTACTACTACTAATAATAATAATAGTAATAACAATAATAAATTCAGTAACCAGATCTATAATTTAGAACAATATTGAAACCTTAATACTAAATAAATAAATAAATAGATAAATAAATAAATGAATGAATGAATGAATGAATAAATAAATAAA